ACCTATAATGTCCAAATTCATAACTTCTTGTAGGTGCATATTTTGAACTTGGGAGCTGAAGATGGATTGTATATAAATGAGTCCTCTTAAAAATGAGCTTTGGATGGGTCATTTCTCATAAAGTATGAGAAAGTTATGCTTGGTCAAAGTTGAGTTGACTTTTCCTACAAAACCCTAATTTAGCAACTTTTGAGTCTTGATGAATTATGAGCAATCCTTGATGAATCATGATCAACCCTTGATAAAATGATTAAATGTACTTAAAAATGAGGATGTTGACCAAAAATCTTGAAGTTTGACTGTATGTAGGCCACAATTGACTTTTGCCCTAGCATAGTCGATTTTCAGGCCTTTGAGCAATTGACTGAGCAAGCTTTCTCTGCAAGGCTTGAAATTTGACATGGATGAACTTGGGAACATATTAGGACATTGGTGAGCATTTGGGATCACTTGGACTCAAGTGTCTTGATGCAACATGAAACCCTAATTTGAGGTAGACTGCCTTAGGAGAGAGCTTGTCTGGCCAACCCTTGGACTACCTTGAGCAACTTGGGGATCTTTCTTGAAATGTTTTGAGAAATATGGGAGGGAAAATTTTGGGTTACAACAGCTGCCCCTGTTCAATCTTCTTAAACCTGAGGATGTAGATTGGCTTTCGTGCCTTTCGTGATCCGAAGGTGGAAGATGATTGAACACTAGAGTGCCCAGAAATTTGCACTCACATGATGTGGTATCCGTCTTGCAATGTCGGGAATGGGCTTACAGATGACATTTGGAAATTTCTGACGAGGGGAGATGGGCTTAAAGATTCCATCTGAAGGAGTATCGATTGCATAAGAGATTCCTTAGTGAGAGCTTGTATACCTGTCGTTGAGGAAGATTCCGCTGGGGAAGGTTGATCTCTGTTGAGAGAAGTAGAATTTTAGGAGCTTTGGTCGTCCATTATTCCGCTGGTGAGTCATATTTGTTTGAATTTTAGGAACTTCGGTCGTCCATATTCTAATTGAGGAAACATCTATGTTGAATTTTAGGAACTTAGGTCGTCCGTATTCTACTGAGGAAACATCTCTTAGTCAAGGAGGTGAAAATGAATTGTGATCTGGTCATGGTCCATGCTTCATAGTAATAAGACCGACTGCTATCTGGTCGTAATCCAGGCTTTACAGACTTACTTGGGGAGATGAGATTAAACTTGCTATCCGGTCGTAACCCAGGTTTTCGCAACTTCTTAATTCTTATCTGGTCGTAATCCAGGTTTCAGAAGGAATTCAAATGTTATCCGGTCGCATCCAGGCTTTCAACTTGAATTTATGGCACACTAATATCTGGTCGACTCTGGGCTTCTTAGTAACTGTTCAAGTAAACTGCAGTTTGGTCGAAATCCAAACTTCGCAGGGTCTTGTACTGCTATCTGGTTGCAATCCAGGCTTCAGTCCTTTTACCGTTATCCGGTCGTAATCCAGGCTTCATGGTGTTCCATACTGCTGTCTGGTCGTAATCCTGGCTTCATAATACTTTACTTCTTATATGGTCGTAATCTAGTCTTCAGAACACTTTACTTCTTATCTGGTCGTAATCTAGTCTTCAGAACACTTTACTTATCTGGTCGTAATCCAATCTTCAGAACACTTTACTTCTTATCTAGTCTTAATCCAGTCTTCAGAACACTTTACTTCTTATCTAGTCGTAATCCAGTCTTCAGAAGAGATCAAATGGCTATCCGGTCGTAATCCGGGCTTCCCTTTGGCTTTGGGCCAACTAACATTCGGTCGTAATCCGAGTTTCAGAGTATCTGGCCAGGTGAACTGCTATTTGGTCGTAATCCAAGCTACACAATATCCCTTATTGTTATCTGGTCGAAACCCAGCCTTCACAGTGTTTTAACCGCTATCTGGTCGTAATCCAGGTTTCACAGGAACTTGTATTGTTGTCTGTTCGTAATCCAGGCTTCACAATAACTCGCTGAGCTGTTATCCAGTTGTAATCCGGGTTTCACGGCTTGTGAGGATTTAAACTATTGTCCGGTCGAATCTGGTCGTAATCCAGGTTTCACAGGAACTTATAAGGCTTTTTCAGGTAAGGTAACTGTGGCTGCTATAACAGATGAAGCATTATCTCTTAGTTTTAAGTGGTACAGTCCATCCTTTTGCTCAGCAGAACCAGTCATCCTCAGGGTGACTTTGTCCTGTATAAAACATTGTGAGTTGAGAAAACTGACATTACAATTAGAAGATTAAAAAAGTTTGGAAATAGATAAAAGATTTAAAGAAAACTCAGGAAGTAAAAGGACATCGTGCACAATGAAATCAGGGGGAAAATGAATTGTACCAGAATAGCTAGCAATAAGACATTGTCCATTTAGCAATCTAACACTGATTGGAACAATTTTCTTATATGAGTGAAACCATTTGATAAAACTACATATATGATCAGAAGCTCCAGAATCAATGATCCAAGAACTATTACTACTAGTATGCATGCAATGAGAGGTGTTACCTGTTGATAGATGACCAACAACAACTTGATTAGAAGAAGCACATCCTGAAGATTGGCCAATGCTGGATTTCTGAATTAGCTCTATTAGAGTATTGAATTGACCTTGAGTCATAGGTGAATTATCACTTTTGATGTCACCACCATTAGAAGAAGATCCATCATCATTGCTATCTGATGCAACATTGTTAGCTGAATTCTGAAACTGCTTCTGCATATGTGGTGGAACACCATGTTTCTTGAAGCAATTTTCAACAGTGTGATTATTCTTGCCACAGAAAGTGCAAAAACGAGTTCCATGTCTAAATGTATTGTTTCTTGCACCATATTTCTTGGAATCAACAACATTAATCAAGGTTTGGGACTCATCATTGGAAATAGGAAGTTGGAGTTGTCTCTCATGTTGAATAACCATGGAGAATATCTTATTCATATTTGGCAGAGGATCCATTAACAAAATTTGGGACTTAACAACAACAAATTGATCATTCAAACCAGTCAAAAATCTGATAACTTGCATTAGTTGATGGTTGGATCTTGCACTGCGCATAGCTTCACAAGAGCATTTGATGCGACATGTGCAAGTTGGTAAAGGCAAATACAAATCTAATTCTTCCCAAATAATTTTAAGTTCAGAAAAGAATTCAGTTACCGATTTGGTTTCTTGCTTGAGGTTGTATATTTCTTGTTGTAGCTCAAAAATACAGATGAGATCGCCCTGAGAGAATCGTTCTTTCAAGTTATTCCATACATCAAGCGCATTCTCCAAGAAAACGATGGACTGTGAAATGGAATCTGAAACTAAATTCATGATCCAAGAATGAACTAGCATGTTGCAGCGATTCCAAACACGTAAGGAGGGATCAAAAGAATCAACGGGAACAGGAAGAGATCCATCGATGAACTCAATCTTCATTTTTCCACCGAGCGCCCTCTTCATGCTTCGAGGCCATGAGTGATAGTTAGAGCCAGTAAGCTTAGGAAGAACTGTAACAGAACCGGGACCATCACTAGGATGAACAAAGAATGGTGAAGTTTGATCCAAAGCTGGATCAATGGGTGAAGTGCGAGGAGGAGCCATGGATGCAGAGGGAAGGAAGCACGAAATAAAGCTTCAATTGAGAAACAGCGGAATAAGGATCGAATTGGCGAATGATACCATATTGTGATGAAGCTACTTCACCATTGAAGAAGAAAATACTTCAGCATTTGCAGAAGAAAACAACAAGAAATGTAAAGAAGAAGAAAGAAGATAATGAGCAAGAATGATTGACAAATAGTTATCTTACACTTGTGATAGCCTTATCCATATATAGTGTTGTTATCACTTAATAACCAATCAGAAAATTATAACTAACTATCTAAAATAGCAAAAATAGTAAAACTATATTTATCCACATAATTTACAGTAAAACTATCCTATTTTTCTATATTCTTAACAAAAGCGGCTGATGTAAAGTGACATTGGATATTACCAGCAAATTAATTGAGTCAATGACAATCACAATTACACACGAGAGTATTTATTCAAATGCATAGAAGATTATGTGTGTATTTAATTTCACTAAGAGACTTATATTTTATCAAAAGTAAAAAAAAAAAAAGATTTTCTGTTGACAAAATTGATGGACTTCCTCATGTATATGCATGTGTTTAGTTTCACATGACAGATTTAGTAAACATATGAATTTTTTTTTCCACCAAACAAAAATGTATCTACATTATATAGATTTTTCTATCAAATATTATATATTGAAATAAACATAAAATTTGAAGATAAATTTAAAATAATGTGATTCATCATTTTCTAAGAGAAGAGAGAGTAGATGTGATTATATATTGCAAGTTTTGTTGCAAATATAATTATTCTTTGGTTGTTTGATGTTATATTTGATGTATAATATGATGATCAATTTTTAATAGTACATGCATGTCGATTTTGTTGAATATGATATAGCAGATTTTGTTCTATATATAAATTTATTATATTTTGAATCTTTTATTTCCTTTCAAAACTATTTCTTAGTACACTTCTATTATTGGTTCAAACATGTACAAGAATATTTCACGTGTAGTTAAAATTCTATTTGATTATTTATTACACAATTAAATCATTCATTTTATATTTATAGATACATTTGATCATATTAAATATTAATTAAAGAATATAAGAAAAATATCTACGTTTTTTAAAAACTTTAATACAAAATTTCAAATAGATATTATATTAAAAACAAAATTTCTCAATAGTTTTTAATATTCATTTATACGTAACAAAAATATGTTATTTTTGACCGATTATTCAAAAAAATATTTTATTAACTAATTAGTTAAAAGACGATATTTATTTGAGAGACATAAATAAATGATGAACAGATCGGTTTAATAATATTGATATATATGATAATTATAAAAGATGAAAATATATAGAGTAACAGTGGTAAAAATAATATTAAATTAAGAAAGAATTGACACGTAGGTAAGGTATAAGGGCGAAGCAAGTGGTTATGTCGACGAAGCGGAAGGTTCGGAGGATACAGCTGGAGACAGGCTGTCAACAACAAAGTCCCACTCATCACACCTCTCTTTCTTCCTTTCATTCCCATTTCTCTCAATCGATTAGGGTTTTCTCATCCACTCTCCCAACTCGATCAACATTATCATCACTGTAAGCATCTTTTCCTCCTTTTTCTTCTCCTTGCTTTATTACTCCACGCATTTCCTCTTTCTTTTTTTTTTGATTTCAACTTCGATCATATTTCTATCGAAAACCATGTCTCTTCATTTTGCTTCCTACCTACTCTTTTTTTTATTCATCTTGCTTTCAATTTTATGCTATCATCTCATTGCTTTTCTCAAATCAACATCTTATTTAACTTACTATCTATACTCTTTTTTACTTTATGTTTCTTCTCTCAACAATATCTTCAAAGCTTCTATTTTCTCATACACCCATCCTTCTATTTTCTCCAATAATGTTTATTTATAGGAACAATGACCTATATTATTAAACTTGGCGTTATGTTCTGAATCACGAATAATAACTAAAACTTAGTCTTATGTTAGGGTTGGGAATCGAACCCGGAACAATATATACTGCTAGTGGTGATAAATATATGTATACACGGCTGCTTGCATGACATGAAATTTGCATATCAATTTTAATAATTCAGTATAATTATTTAATATCTCTTTTTCACCCACAATCCATGTAAATCCAATGCCCTCTTTTGCAGTGCTATACTGCTACGCATAGCGCAATTTGGACAAACTGCTATTGTTTTACGTTACACTATTTAGTACAAAATGTTGTCAAATTGTTGCTATAGCGGCACTGCCACTATTGCACAGCGGAATTTTATGAATCAGCTATTTTCCGCTATCGTTTGACAACACTGTTCTCGTGATGATATTGTTTGCTTTTATAAATTTGTTTCCTTTTTTTATTTTGTTCCTGTATTGATTGACGTGATGATACTGTATTGATTCACAAATCTCTGACATTTAATTTTACAATCTGCTATTTTCCGCTATTCACAATTGACGACACCAGTCCCATGATAATACTGTTTGCTTTTATAAATTAGTTTCCTTTTTTATTTGGTTTTTGCATTGCGACTGTATTGGTGTGTGAGCAAATTTTTTTATGTTTCCTTGGAATTTCTTTGCTGCATTAATCTAAGACTAGAGATTGAACATATATTTGGTTTGGTTTTCTGACATATTTTGTGTTGGTTGTAGATGCTTGACTTGGGGGATAAATCCTAGTGCATTTCTGCTGTAGATGTATCACCCATTCACATTTCACTGGTATGAAATCATGGAGGAGTGCTAGATGATTGATAAGTGATGTTATGTAATCATCTATCCTGGGTGGTTACACATATCTGAATTGAGTTCAATAATCAACTCTGTTATTGATATTGGGAACTCAGTTTGTCATAAGTTAGTTCTGGGTAAAAAGCATAAGCCCCAGAGGATTTCTGCTATCCATGCTAGGAGAGAGCATGCGTGGAATCTGTATATCGGGTAATGCCCCTGTCGAGATTTGCTGCCGAAGCATTCGGTGTGGTGACAATTTGTCTAGTAGCCATCTTGATTCTTCTTGGGTTGATATGCATTGCTTACTCTTTCTACTTCCGCTCTCGTATTAATAATCAAGGTTTCGTTCAACTCAATTATTTTAGTGGTCCTTGGATAATTAGAATAACATTCATCCTATTTGTTTTCTGGTGGGGTCTAGGTGAGATTATTCGGTTAACTTTGTTAAGACGTGCCCTGCACTTAAAATGGAAGGAAACTGTTTGCAAATGTTACATTGTATCGAGCATGGGATTTGCAGAACCGTGCCTCTTCCTCACACTTGTGTTTCTCCTCCGTGCACCCTTGCAGAGGTTGGAAACTGGAATTATGAGCCGAAAATGGAATGTGAAGACATCTGGGTACATTATTCTTTACTGCCTTCCAATGTTTCTTCTCCAGCTTTTTGTTATTTGGGTCGGCCCTCAGTTAGACAAGAATAAGGGTATTATGAAAAAATTGCCTCGTTATTTTACAAGTACAGTTGGCTCCTCTTCAGTGGCAGGGGGGAATGATGATATTGCACTCTGTACTTACCCTTTACTTAGTACTGTTCTCCTTGGTCTCTTTGCCGTTATACTGACTTCCTACCTTTTTTGGCTTGGTAGTCGGATTTTGAAATTAGTCATCAACAAAGGTTTGCAAAAAAGGGTCTACACATTGCTGTTCTCTGTTTTGTGTTTCCTTCCATTAAGGGTTCTTTTTCTTGGTTTATCTGTTTTATCTGAACCTGAGAATTTTATGTTTGAAGCCTTAGTTTTCTTGGCTTTTCTTGCACTTGTATGTTGTTCTGGGTTGTGCATGTGCACACTTGTGTACCGTCCAATTGCCGATTCTTTAGCACTGGGAAATCTTCAAGACTTGGAGGCTAGGACTAGGAGGTTTAATGATGAACACAATGATACTGCATCCCTTATTGCTAACCAGAGTCGTCCTGAAGATAATGTTGAGGAAAATGCTCGGCCTAGTCCTGGTAGGTATTCTGATGAATCAACAAAGCGAGGATCAATTTCATTTCGGACAATGGAAAAGGGTGTCTGTTCAACTGGAACATTTGTAGAACTTAGCCTATTCTCTCCCAGCCGCAGTTTAACACCTCCTGGATCTCCGTCTCTTCCAGGTTGGCCCATGCAATCTCCAACCCAAGTTATTGGACCATAGCAGCTAGTAACTGAATATGTTGGGTGAATATCAATTTTTGGAAAAGAAAAAACTGATTGTAAAGGGTTTAGTTTCAATAAGGCTTTTTTTTTTCTCTTCTTCTTTTGGGGTATGTTTGCTAATTCTAGGTATATAATGTTTTTGCCCTAGAAATTATCGAGTACATCCTTTTTTCTGTGCTGCTATCTTGATAACTTTTTCCTGCCGGGTTGTATTTTTGTACTTTAAATGTTAGAAGACCATTACTTACAATTATATATTCTCTTTTAGTAGTTGTTTGTTTGCAAAATTGTTGACTAAACAGGTTATGTGTATGACTACTTTAATTAGCTGTCTAGGCTAGTGTGTATATTAATCACAATTAAAATGGAAACGTAATACCTGAAGCATGGTATTTATGATGAAATCTTAGTACTAAAAATACCTGAAGTAGGTCAATGTACTTTGGATTTCCACTTTATTATGGAATCAAATTTTAAGTTTAACGTGTCCACCACGCATACCTGTCATCGTGTATGAAATGAACACCCCACATAATCCAATCTTAATCTAATTATGCCTGATATGTTCAAATTGTCATCGTGAATGAAATCAACGCCCCATGTTAATCTAATCTTATTCTAATTGTATAATTGTAATTTATTAATTTTATTTTCCTTTTTTACCAAACACATATTAAACTCATAATCAAGTACTTACTCTTTCCATTTCTTTTCAAGTCTCGCTCTTTTGAAAAAATTTATGTTTTTTTTAATTGTTTTCAAAATTCAAACTAGTACTTGTATTATATAGTTTTGTCAATTACCCTTAACTATTTATTACAAAACGAGAAAAAAATAATTTGAGATAATGAATAATTTTGGATATTATAGATAAAAAGAAAGTCATATAAGACATATATGCTTCTTTATGATCATAATATTTATGAATCATCAATCAATCTTAACAAACTAAATTGTTGTATTAAAAATTTTGTACGGACAAATAGCATAGATAATAGAAAGTTGATTACCATATCTTAGAAGGTTATTTGCTCACTTTGGTTTGACGGAGATCTTGGTTTGAGAGATATTAAGATAACAAACAAAATTGATTGTTTATCTCTTTGTTGGAAGTTGTTAACTTACAACAATCAATGATCTTCTATGCTTAGTAGTCAATACTTCGAGAATAAAAAATCAATCATGCATCATATTTCTTATTCAATACAGCATAACGTTCAACATTCTTTTTCCTTTTTAGATGAACATAATAGATGACGAGTTGGTAATGAGAAGAACATTGATTTATGGATTGACAACCAGTTGCCATACAAAATTAAATATTTACATTTATGCAAACTGTTAAGGTCAATTCAATTATCCAAAACATCTATTGAAATATTCCTCGTGATTATCCATTTTTCCTCCTCAAATTGTTGAAGATATTTTAAAGATTAATTTGTCATTTGATAATACTATGATAAATATGGATATATGTTCTTGTAGGTATAATCAAGAAGTAATCCAAAATGACAAAACTCATGGATAGTAAGATTCAAGAAGCTATTGCTTAGCTTTGACGATGATATGATTTTGATGATAATAACAGTTGAAGTCAAGCAACTGCTAAAGTTAGCTCAAGCGCTCAAAGATACACAAGGTGGTTGATAAAGATCAAGACATCCTTTCAAATCAAGCTAAGAAATTTTGTTCGAAGTCAACACTTTAGTTCAACGACTCTCAAGTAAAGAATTAGGGTATATGATCACTGGTGATTTAAGACATCTCTAATGATGGCAATAAGTACCGAAATAACTCAAATATCATGAGAAGACTCAAGGTTCTTCTGTGATGATATTGTCTGATGCTAAAGTAAAAGATGATGTCAAGACTTGAAGCTTTAGAGTGTGAAAGAAAGTAAATGTGAAAGATCGTCTAATCATGCCTACCTAAGTTATTAGTGTATTGTAAAGATACAAGGGAATTTTTGGAAGTATTATGATTAAATCTCTCTCTCTCTCTCTCTCTCTCTCTCTCTCTCTCTCTCTCTCTCTCTCTCTCTCTCTCTCTCTCTCTCTCTCTCTCTCTCTCTCTCTCTCTCTCTCTCTCTCTCTCTCTCTCTCTCTCTCTCTCTCTCTCTCTCTCTCTCTCTCTCTCTCTCACACACACACACACACACACACACACACACACACACACACACGAGCACACACACACTCACTCACACTTAAAACATAGAGAAACCTCTCACTTTTTGATTAAAACAACCAAAAAATGTTTTTTGGACCCTAGTCAGTTGATTATTGGACTGTCTGCTTAAGTAAGAAATGTTTTTAAGCAGTTTAATCGATTAGGTGATGCATAATCAATTCTATCATGGATTTTGATATTCTCTTAATGATTGGTAATAACTCTCTATCTAAACCTTTCAAATTGAGCAACAATAATCAATTATTCATACCGCCTAATCGATTAGGTAATTTAATTGGACCATAGATTGTTTTCAAATTTACACAATTTATTGGCTTATGAGTAGAGATCTTATCCATCATTTCAAATTACTCAGAAAATGTGAAAAACTTGACTCTTCATTTTTCTCATAATCTCTCTAAATCATTTATACTTTGCTCTCATATTCTAGTCATAGTGCTTTGAGAGCTTTGTTAAAAATTTACCAAGAGTAGATTTTTCTCTTGAGTAAATTGCTCTTTCTTAGGAAGTGATTATTTTGGTTAGGAACTAAATCATTGTATAAACTCTTTGATTGTTTCTGGGAGATTAGTATAAGTCTTAGTTTAGTTCGTGAGCTCCACCATTGAAAAAAAAACTCTCTTTTAGGTTCGTGAACATTAACTAGTGAAAAATCTTCATATTGATTTTTGAGGTCAGTCCGGTCAAAAGCTTTATTAGTTCTAGATCAAACTGGTAAAAAATATCATTTGGTTTATGAATTTAGCTTAGTTAAAAGGTCATTATGTTAGAAATTATTCCAATAAAAATTTCAGTTGGGTTCGGGGTCAAGCTGTATAAAACCTCAATTCAATTTAGAAGATAGCCAACTCAAATCTCCATCCTAGTTCAAGATTAGACTGTGCAAAATATCCATTTGGCTTAGAGACTAACCATCGAAGCTTTGTTCTTTATTTTATTTGGACACTAACCACTTCAACTCTCAATCCATTGTTTGGTTGGAAATTATCTTGCTACTTCATTTCCTTGTATAAGAGGGTTCATGGGCTTGAACTTCTTAAAGATTTCAGGAAATAGTGAATACTCTCAAGATTAGTTCTCAGGGAGAGGAGTACGTCACTTTATTAGACGAAACCTCTATAAATTTCTAGTGTCGTTCTCTATTCCTTCATCTCTTTTCTTTCATTTAATTTCTTTACTTCGAATTTCCGCTGCATATTCAAACGTTTTTGATAAAATGTTTTTAAAATTTGATTTAAAAAATAATTTTGTTATAAATAAATGATTTTAAAACCTCCACAATTCACCCCCTCTCATGTATGGAGTTACGTGTTCAAAAAGTGGCATTAGGATTTAACTCCTATTTAAAGACTAATCGTCTAAGGAGGAAGATGAATTCTAACATTGTTTTTTAACAAGAAGACTTCCCTAAACACACATACATTGTTTAATGGTGATTGATTTGAATTGTAGAAAGCTAAATTTAAAATATTAATTCAAAATTTTGATCTTGGATTGTGGCAAAATATAAGCAACTATCCATTTATCCCTACTCACCCTATTAGTGGTGAAGTATTTGATAAACCATATTTTATTTGAAGCAGAGAAGAAAAGAGAAAGTTTGATAAAATAATTTTGGAAAATTATAATTAATGGTCCATTTGTTCTTAGTCATGTCTTTAGATGAAATCAATTTTTTTCATGTCCATACTTATAATTCCACCAAGAAAAAATGAGACACTCTTGAAATAATCTATGGAGTCTCTCCAAGCATCGAACAAGAGAGAATGAACACTCAAGATGAATAAGATGGATATTTCCTTCATAAATGATTTTCAATGAATAGAAATTTTGGAAATAATGTTAGAACCTCCATCACTAACAAATATTTAAGAATTAATAATTGGAATCACAAACCTTATCCAATCCTTAAATTGAGAGATGTGAATGCTTATGATTTTTAGAAAAAATCCAAGAAGGAAGAAGTCGTCAAAAAATTGAATGAGTTGATTCAAATCTTAAATGATGAAGACATGATCTAAAATATAGAAGTGTATCTAGTAACCTAATCCAAAAACTCATGTGAAGAAGAAAAATCAACTCTAGTAATCTCCTTCGAAATAACTGTCTTGGTAGTTGAAGGATCCTAAGAACATTCAACATCAAATGGAGGAACGTCATCAAGAGGAGAATGTTGATCTATGTGCTTGCAAATATAAATTAAATAATTATATATAAGATTCTCTCTGGAGTTTTGATGAGGACAAGTTAACAACTTTGATGTTGAAGTCGGTGGCAATAGATTTCAACTCTCTGATGATGGTTACCCAATTAGAAAAATACATCAAGCCTCATCAAGAAAATAGACTAATATTGAAGTATTTATATGATCGATACATCTAGAAACAAACCTTGAAGCTTAAGAGTAATGAAAGAGAGGAAGTGTGAAAGCTCGCCAGATTGTATCTGTCTAAGTGGTCAAAGTTTTGTAAAATTAAGGAAATAACTCATAACTTCTAAGGCAATGTTAGACTAAGGAGACTTATCTAGAGGGGGGAGTGAATAGATTCCAAATTAAAAAACCACCTTTCACAAAATGGTTACTTAAAAAAACTTATTTGAAAAACAATATTGAGCGGAAGGTTTTTTGCCTAGATCAAAACAGTAGTCTAAACGAACCTAGTTATTGAAAACTCGGATATGCACAAGCCATATGGAATTAAGATAATGATAAAATAAATCAACATAATAATATATCAATTAATAGTTTAATATCAAACCATAACTTGAAAATAGTTTCTTATTTTCAATAAAATCATATTAAAACCA